CCCCAAAACCCCAAAACCCCAAAACCCCTTCACCCAATAATATATAGATATTAACAGTATTAAAACTTATTTAGACAAATAATGAGATTATAAATTAATCAGATTAAATATAGATTTCTTAGAGTTCCAAATAATCAAAAATAAACATAAAACTAACATGTAACCTAAGTTATCATCAAAGGCAGTCTCAGCATCTGATAAGAAGACAACTGAGAAGTTCGATAAGTCATCTATTATTCGGGACATTGAGGATATGGCTCATATCAGACTTAAAGAGGTAGAACCATTACCAGTTTCAATGTATGAGGATCTCTATGTGCAGAAAAATTTGATGGAATTCTCAAGAGACATTGCTCTTAAGTTCAATGAGCTTATTGAATATATCAAGAAAGATAGAGTAAAAGAGACCTAGGACAGAGATTATTATGAAGAAAGAGTTGATGCTAAAATAGCAAATATACATAGACACTTAGTCAAGAAAAGTTTTGAACAGAGATGGAAGTAGAGGCTATTCAAAGTTATGGTTAATGAGTCAAAAACTACTGCTAATTTAAAAGTTAAACTGGGTAATCTTGAAAAGATTCAAAAGCAATTCGCTTTTAGAACGCTTGCTCTCAATACACTAGATGAATAGAGAAGTCCAAGTCCTTAGACTAAGGTTAAGAGGATTTCAAGTATCAAGCTATCGGACAGCAAGAGACCAACAGAGTAGCTGCAAATCAACTTGACACCATATTAAAGCACCATCAAAGCATTTAATTAGTAGCAATTAGATTTAAATGTAACCGCAGTTAAGGAAAGTCCCAGTAAAACTACAGTTGATAAATCTTGGATTAAGTTGTCTATTGATGAACTAATGGTCAAGTAATTATAGTTGCAAAATAAATAATGATATAGGAATGAACAGATGCAAGCACAAATCATAGATCTAAAAAACTAGCAGAAAAATCACTCTCTATATTAGAAAATCGCATCAATTTCTAATAATGAAAGAGAATAAGGGTTTCTGATTGGACTATTCGACGATATGCAGAATATGAACGAGCAGAACGTCAAGATCCTGACAAATAGATTAAATGATGAGCTAGAAAAATTCAACAGATTCATAGTCAAGATGAAACAGGAACAGGAAGGAGTGATCACTAGTGCTTACAACTAACTGAATCAGGTATAACAAAAATATATATTAATGTATTTTTATGCAGAACTTCATGTTGCTGAAAGATAAAGACTTTGAGTAGATTAAGAGCGACATGAAGATATTGTTTGTTAAAATCAATCATGCCAATGAGTCCTATCTAAACATAAGGAAGGAGTTCTCAGGTCTTAGGGATTAGTTCAAACATCAAAGATCATTAAGTCAGTCCAAAGAAAGATATGACTCCTAGACATTGATGCAAAGCACCAGCAGACAGTAACTTCACGATAAATACGATAACTTCATAACTTAGCAATCATTGGTCAATCCCATGAATATTTTGTCGAATCAGCAACTGATTAATTACTACTAAAACCAGAACTATAGGGATATATCGCAGAACCAGGTGCTTAAGCATATCAAGTCAGACACGCCTGATAGAACAGGATAAGATTCAATTATTGCTGGCAGGATACACGATCGAAGAAACAGCAGCAAAGCGGAAACAAGGAGACCTATGACTAGCAAAAATACTAAAAAATTTAACCCTTAGAGTAACTTTCATCTCTAAGCGAAACAAAGAGGGCACAAGACAAACTCATCATAGCAATAAGATTTGAACAGTCTGCTTTCCTTCAATTAGCTAAGAGGACTTGACACCAATGATAACACTAGAAATGACATCTAGAATTCTCAGAACAAGACTCTTTAGTTTAGTAGACTTGACAAGATGTTTACCGGTACGATGGAGAGTTTCCACTTCTTGAACCCCATTAGCAAAGATAAGATTCACATTTCTCCTAGAGTAACCTCCACCTAAATGCCTAGCTCTACTATTCCAACTGAATTTAGAACAACTTTGGCCTCTAAAGTGAGGACAAATAAAGGTCTAGACAAGTTAAACAAAGCTATAATTAGTAAACTGCTGCCAGACTAGGTATATAAGGACTAAGTTGACTATAAAGAGCTTGACATTAACTCTTTCTTTAAGACTTCTAACAGCAAAGACATTATACAGAGAAATAAGCGATCTTTGAATTCCTCCTCTAAAGATGGTAGGCCCTCAAATCCTTACTATATGAAATTTTAGAATAGACAATTGACTACCAATGAGAAAATACCCTAGTCTAGACTATAAGAAATCTTCAATGGGGCTATTAATCATCAATAGCAGTAGAATACAAACTTAAATAAGACCTACAATCCAGTACTTAAGGACACATTGAGATCTAAGAACTCAAGTTAGTCACCTAAGAGATATGCAGGTTAAAACATTACAGAGGCAATTGAAAGTAACAAAGTTTTTAACTAAGATTTGAACAAGACTTTTTAGGTATCTCCAATGGATATCAAGACATGAAAAATATGAATTATTTTGAGGAACTTTGAATGATTTGTTCTTAAAAATTATCTTTAATTTTAATTTCATAACTAAATAAAATTAATGGAAGAGATTTTTATCTGCAATGAATGCATTAAAATTGCAGTAGAACCTGTCAAACTAAAGTGTGTGCATACTTTTTGTCTTAAATGCGCCTAGAACTTAGTCCTTGTAAGCTATGTGAACACTTTAAGAAGAGATATATTCTCTTGTCCAATATGTAAAAAATAGTCATAGCTCTAAGGCGACTTCCTATTCAAGCCAAATGATGACTTGAAACTTGCTGTATCTCAAACTCATATTTTATCTCAATATGCATATAGTCACAATTTTTCCTGCAAAGTTTTAAGAAGATGAACTCAGACAAGACAAGTCTAATGGAATTTTATCAAGATTTCAAAGACAAGAAAATCAAAAAAGGGCATCAAGCGTAGAAAACTTTTAGCAGTCTAAATGGCTAGGATCTAACTATTCCCTACGCCTTCTGTGAATTATGCGAGCAGTCAGATGAGAAGGTAAGAGCAACATGCGAGTGTCTAAACTGTAACTTGCCTCTATGTCTGAAGTGCAAAAATAAACATTAGCAGAATCCTCGACTGCAAACTCATAAAATATTAAACTATCAGCAAATGATATTCAGCGGAAAATCAATGGCTAATAATACTGAACATGAAAGTCCCACGCCCAGAGGTGGTAGAAAAGGTCATTCCAATCAATCATCCTAGTCCCCTGGCCAATAGAGATAGGGAACTATTGTTGCTAATAATAGGAAGACTCCTGGCTAATCTATGTCCAGCGCTAACTCATCCGGCAAGTTTTCTGTCAGGCATGCTCTTGGAAATACTGCTTTAGACTAAAATAGAGATCCCCTCGAGCTAATGATCTGTCCTTCCCATGAAGGAAATCTACTCGATCATTACTCAATTAATATCAGAGAATTTATGTGTAAAATATGCATTAAGGAAATTGAAGGTACATAAAGAGAAATTGATATGAATGCAATACCAGTAGATGATGCAATTAAAAGTAATAGTTTTTTTAGCTTAAAATTTATTATAGTACTCGAGAACAGACTGAATATGCAGACATTGGTAAATCTTGATGAGAAAATCAGAACTTTATTAGATCTCATTAAAAAAAAGAAAGATTTTTGTTTGAAGGACAAGGAGGAGTCTTTAAAGTCAATTAATAGATAGTTTGATATATTATATCGAAAGCTTGAAGAAAGGAAGAATACTCTCTTTCAGAAGATCATTGCCATAGCAGATCAAGAGAGTAATAATAACTTTGTGTTATAAATAGATATTAGTCTTGAAAATAGATGCTTTAGTTGAGAGTGTTAGTGCTGTAAAAGAGAGAAGTATTTAGATGTTCCAGCCTATTTAAAACTCATCTGCTATTGGCTACGCTAGATCTTTAGAAAGAATCATAGATTTTATTGGAGACATGAAAGATGTATAATTGCCCTAGAAGCTGACTAATGACTACAATGTTTCTATTAGCATAGATGAGCTTTCCAAGCAATTAGACAAGCTAGGCTCTATCAATTTCTAAGGCGATTTGTAAAATGGAGCTAATGGAGGCCTTGGTTCTGGTAACATGACCAATAATAGTGGGGACTTCAGTCTAATAACAAATGATTTTTCCAAGCCAAAAGCTAAAATACAGAACTCTAAGATCCTTCCAGAGATCGTTTAGTCCATTAAAATTCTCAAAGTAAGGTTGTAATTTATTCATATTAGATAGGTCTTGCCTCACTTTAAGGACAACAATTTATTGTATCGCTGGACTAAAGATTTGCAGAGCAATGATGCATTCCACTAAAAATGTGACAACTAAGGTCCTATTCTTGTTATTATCAAATTAGACAATGGTTCTATATTTGGAGTAATAATATATTGTATTCTAATTATTCTAGGCATTTTCAGGGCTATCTTGGAATTCAATAGGAGGGTGGAGAAAAACAAAGCAGTCTTATATATTCTCTATTACTGACGGAAAAGCGCGAGAGCCATTTATATCCCAGATAAGATCTGACAACCCCAACTCTAAACTAAGGTCTATATACTTTAGTGAGAAATTTGGACTAGTTTTTGGAACTAATGACCTGGCCATTAATTTCAACAATATGAGTCTGAGCTGCTCTAAACTAGGGTAGGTCTATGAAGTTCCTAATGTAATACGATATAACGTCTAATTAGTTATAATAGAACATGAATGAGCTTTGCCTAGCTGGATAAGAAAAGAATTGGATAGTTTAGGAGATAGAGATTTTTGCCTTGAGTCTTTACAAATGATATTAATAATTCAAAAAATGAAAAATAAATAACGTTAATTTCATTAATGTATTATTTAAAAGGCAGATTATTGGGGTTTTGGGGTTTTGGGG